AATAAAAGGGAAAAATGGCATAAAGGAGGGGGGGGGAGGGAGAGGGAAAGGGAAAATTATTACACGAGGACGAGCGAGAACCAGATGCCTCGCTTTTTGATTTTCCTATTTATATGCCCTTCGCTGGTTTTTACTATTCTGAGTCGCGCCTCGCCTCGCCTGGATCTCTCCTCTCTCTTTTTCATCCCTTCCCCCATTCCTCCTTCTGCACATCAATTCCATGGCTGACCAGCTCACCGACGATCAGATCTCCGAGTTCAAGGAGGCCTTCAGCTTGTTCGACAAGGACGGCGATGGTCTGCTTCTTTCAGATCCCTCTCCATTTCGCATCCCCCTTTCTTTCTTTTTCTTTGATTTCCACTTCCCCCGTTTTAGATCTGTTTACGTGCTCCTGGAATTATTATGCTATCTGCTTTGCTTGCCGTTGATTGATTTTTGTGTGGATTATATAATGTTTTCGTTTTTCTCGATGTGTTTTGGTTCCGTGTTCCTGGGTTTTCTCGATCTGTTTCGGTTATCTTGAAATGTGGATTACGGTGAACCTTCCGTGATTTGGAAGCTTGGTCAGCCTGGATGATGGCATGTCGATGTGATAGATTTCGTTTGAAGATGATTCTCAGCATTACCGTGCTTCGTCCGGAAGTGAAAATGAGAATAATCTCCTTGCAAATTGGATCGCTGCATTTTCTGCTTTTGACTTTTGAGGCGGTTTATGTTATAAGGAATAGTACATATCTCCCCGTGGCTTCGTTATATTGTGGGTCTGACTTGCTATTTTAGTATTTCTATTGTTTTATGTCTTTAAGTGTTTGTTTTATTAGGATCAGCTACAGTCCTCGTATTGGGCTGAATTTTAATGTATTGGATCATGTTCCCTGTCTACTGTTTAGTCAATATTAATTTATTTTATATGTTCCATTAAGTTGTAATCTCTCTCACCAACCGTTCGAAATCTACCCATGTAGTTTGTTTGTGTATCACACTCAATTCCAGTTTGAGTTGTTTAGCCTAGGTTAAATTGGACATACTTTGTTGATTTGTACGGGAACTGAATTGAACGCCTGAAAGTTCACGATGATCTTAGAAGAGGGTTTTCCAACATTTGCCACCATAGGAACATTGAGAGGACCAGTGATATTGGTCTTCTCCCACCAAGAAACAAGGAACAGAAACTGTAAGAGACAAAAGCAAGGTTTTCTTTTTTGGTACTCTGTCCACCGTATTAGAACCACCCAAACAGGCAATCCAAATGAAAATATTGTCTTCTCTTCGGCTCTTTGACTTCCAACAGGATTTAATACAGGTCTACTACATTAGGACAATTAAAAGTTGCTCTTACCAACGATTTGACTGAAAATTTACTAGATGAATCACACTTCGTCTAGATTCTTCTATCTTCTTTTGACACCCAAGACACTTCGTTCACTTAGGCCTCTAAACTCTCTACTTTCATGCTCAAGGAGATTTTCATCTTGCCAAGATTCTCAAAGATCTAGAATCCATGTCCCAAGCATGAAAAACCAAATACAATTCTCGTGTCACTGAAAAGAAGTGGGAAATTTCAACTGTAAAGGTCTACTACTCAACCACTTCCAAAACAGTACATCCTCCCATTTAGCCAAGGACTCCTACTACCTCTTCCCCTTGTTTCTTTTTAGTAACTAGGTTCATTGAATTCATTAATTATTATGATGTAATTGGTTGTTAATATATGTCAAGCTTTACACTGATTACATGGATTTGTATTTTGTTTGTTGTTTATTGTATTCTTTCTCTTGGCACTGAGATTGCGTTGGAAATTTCTTGAGAGTTGGTGGCTACATGTAAACCAAAATGTGTTTGAACGTCACTTGTGCTTTGAATAGAGTATCTAGACCTGTTGGCATTTGATAATATTGGGAGTTTTTGTTTACTACAAATTTAAGCCACATGCTTTGAACTTAATGTCGATCCCATGTTACTCCATACCCATAACCTTTGGATTTTCCCGTTAAAATGTTTATTGCTTCTTCTGAGGTAAGTCAGATGGTGAATCCTTCCTGTTCTTAATATTGATTACAATTTCCACTTATTTTTAGGCTGCATCACCACCAAGGAACTGGGGACTGTAATGCGGTCACTGGGCCAAAATCCAACTGAAGCTGAGCTCCAGGACATGATCAATGAAGTTGATGCCGATGGAAATGGAACTATCGACTTTCCGGAGTTTCTTAATCTGATGGCAAGAAAAATGAAGGACACTGATTCAGAGGAGGAGCTGAAGGAAGCTTTCCGCGTGTTTGATAAGGATCAGAATGGGTTCATTTCTGCAGCTGAGCTCCGGCATGTAATGACAAATCTTGGTGAGAAGCTGACCGATGAGGAAGTCGATGAAATGATCCGCGAGGCAGATGTGGATGGCGATGGGCAAATCAACTATGAGGAATTTGTCAAAGTCATGATGGCCAAGTGAGAACTAATCAACTGAAATCTTAACCTTAATCTGCTTAAAAATGAAGAGGGATATGGGCAGATAAGTTGATACGATTTGTTTTCCCATTTAGGATGTCTCCATTTTGATTTACATTTACTATCTATGTTTGTCTCTCTCGTTTTCATTATTTGCGGTACTGTTTTTCAGTATCCTGTTTCTGTTTCTTTGCTGCAATGCTTTCCTTCGTGTTGGTAGTCTCTTTAATCTTAATATTTCTTTCTCTCTATGATACTATGAACCTAGAACAATTGATTGATTGATTGAATCAGAAGATTTTGCTTGTGGGAAGTTAATTTTTCACTTACATTTTCGAGATCTAGATCCAATCCTTTTTATATACTAAACTGAAGTTGATTGCAAAGCTTGTATTTTCCAAAGTCTTTGAAATTTGTGCTTCTGGGAGAGGAATATAGAATTTACTACTACCTTACGTTTGAGATTCTTGAATATTTTATTCCTCAAAAGTTATTTTAAGTATTTCTTAAATCTAAAATGGCGAAAAAAACATTTACTTATCAATGATTCGATAAAAAGAAGAGAAGGGGGAAGAATTGAGATTGAGAAATAAATTTTATGTTTTAAAATTGAAGGGCTTGTGGGTAATATATTTGCATTTGTGTTGTCATTCATTTGGATAGACGGATGGAAGCGATGCGGCAAGAGATGATGAAGAGCAGGAAATTGCCGAAACAGTCCAATGATAGGAAAACACGTGGCTTCCTCAAGCGTCGCATCCACCATTGTTCTGTGCTCTAACTAACATATTCTTTCTTTCACTTTTTTGCTTCTCTTTTGCTTTCTATACATATTAATATTAATACCGCTCTTATAACCACACCATAATATTTGCTAAATTTCTCTTCCATAATCATACTGTAAAAATGCTCCTAATAAATGACTGCTCGCCTATAACAAACACAACACAAGAAGGTGACTTGTATATGGGTTCATAAACAGAGCAAAATAACCTATATAAATCATATAGGTTATATTTGAATTGCTCGTTGCAAAATTATGCTATATTTTGGACTTCCTTAAAGAGATGGTTGTCAAAAATAGAGATTTTTTGTTTTAATATAACGAGTTGTCAATTTTTCAACGATGGTGAGGACAAGAAATGATCTATTGGTAATAGGGGTGTTCAAAAAACCCGAACCGAACCCAACCTAATCCAACCCGTGGGTTCAATTAATCTCTGGTTTGGGTTGGGTTGTAAAATTCCCAATCCGACTGGGTTGGGTCGGGTCTCGGATTGGACCTTAAAAAACTCAGGTCAACCCGACCCAACCCAACATAGTTTTATATATATATATATATATATATATATATTTAATTATAAATATATAATTATTTTTTTCCTTTAATCTCATCCCTATATTGATTTTAATCTCAGCCACCGCAGCCCACCGTCGTCGTCGCAGCAAAGGGAACAAACCGACAACCCGATCCGACCAAATCCGAAATATTTGGGTTGGCCATTAGACCCGTCGGTTTTCAAGTATGGCCAATCCAACTCGTGAATACCCCTAATAGGTAAGGAGCGAGGTATCTTTTATCTCACCACTTTTGAAAACAAGTATATTCCATTATCTTACTATTTTCCGTCAACCTGGAAATGGAGGATTCTGATTTGGGAATCTCTCGTGTCGGTGAAAGCAAGCCCAGATATCTGGGCTTACAAAAATGGTATTTCCAGTTTAATTATGAATTCTATTGTTGTTTTATTGTATAGGATTTTTTTATTATTACAAATTACTCAATTAAAAGTTGCGTTTTTATACAACTAAGTTTATCTATTAAAAAAGAAAATGCACTCAGCTCATCTAACGTGTTTGGCGCTCTCTTCAACATCTTTCATGGTCCGTTTAATTTATATACTTTTTTTAATAAAATTATGTGTAAAAGTTAAGATTTTAAAGTTTGTCTATTTTGCTGTTCTAAATTTTCAAAACTGAAAAATTATCTATATAGATGAATAATACTTCCGTATTAATTAGTCAATAAAAATCTTCTGCCAACCATCATGATGTTATTCACAATTAAGAGGGAGAAAAACATACAGGAGGAGAAAGGAGAGTTTTTTTTTAAAGAATAAATAGTTGTCAACCATTTCAGTAATAGTGAGTATTCCATACGGAGATGTTTATTCACAGACGACGTAAAGAGAGGAGGAATGAGGACAAACATTCTTCCCACACCTTTTATTCATTGACAACTGGTTTTGATAGATATCTAAATCAGTTGAACTATGCTCATAACTTTTATTTACTTTCACATATCTTTGATATCAAGAAAATAGAATCAAATTGTCAAACCGAGAATAGCTCAAGTGATTAAGGCATGTCATAAGTTCGAATCCCCACCCTCATATATTGTACTAAAAAAAATAGAATCAAATTTAAATAAATAGTATAATATACTTTTTGTCCCTCGATATGAAGATAGATTTCTATTTAGTCTTTTTTTTTAAATATTTTTATTCATATTAATGGAGAATGTGAACTAGAACGAAGTTGAGAATGATAAATCCATCTGAAAAAGCTCATCGAATTTGGCAGGAGAAGCAAAATCAAGAATTAGATGAGAAACTCGTGACCCAAAAACAGTACAGTGAAGTTGCCATATCCATATCCATAGCCATGGGATATAGTTTCCAAAATCAGCTATTTGGTTTTTCTTTTAAAAATAAAATAACCCACAAATGACACATCATATACAATAAATATATTAGTAAATGCCACATAATGCTTCAGATATGTCAGCATTTCGTTAGTAATGTTAATGAAAGTTTGACTATAATGACCTTTTAAAACTATTTTCTAAAGGCCGATCGATAACCGAAGTATCCGTTTCTAAGACTAAAAATGTATTTTACCTTTACAAAATTAAACTAGAACTATAATATTATATGTTTGTTATTATTTGTAGATATTTTAGGGAATAGACTCAAATTTATTAAATATAGGGCAATTGCAAATATAGCAAAAAAAAATTCAAGGGAATAACAAATTTAGCACAACATTTTAGTTTTG